ATTATAAACAACAACTTCGTCATCAATTACTTACATCTCATCAAATTGCTCAAGAACATAGTGAAGTACGCAAACTTCAGCAGAAACATCAGTATGACCGTCATAGTTCTAAACGTTCTTTTAAAGAAGGGCAACTTGTTTGAGTTAACATTCCTTCCGTATTAAAACATGGAAAACTTGATCCTCAGTATCAAGGTCCTTGTCGCATCACTCAAATTCTTACTTCCTCTTCTTTTATTATTCATCGTCTTTCCGACGGAGTAAATTTAGGAGCCACCAACATTGATCGACTTAAACCATTTTATGAACCAAATGATATTCGTGTCAACAATACACGAAGTACACCAGATCAAACTTTAAATACACATCCACAACCATTGATGAGTATCAATACAAGCAATACTACAAATATGATTCCTTCTCGCCCGTCAAACAATGATGACTTTTCTCCGTCCTCCTCTTTGTCCAGTCCACTATTATATCAACGTCCAATTCGAATACATAGACGACCTAACCGATTGAATCTATAGCACCATCTATATCATAACAATGACCTCCCGCTCATGCAACGTTCATTAAATAACCTTTTCCTTTCCTATATATCCGGTCAGACTGAGAAAGAATGACCTTTGCGTCCATCCATTACAAATCTATCACATTAGGCACTATGTATATTTCAACTGTCAAACATGCTTCTAATCCTGCAGATATTCTCATCAATCTGCAAAATGTCTGTTAAGTAGTTGTCTGTCAAGAGTTCAATGATCAATCGTACATTTATTGTTGACCCCATCCTTCACTCTCTTTCACCAATCCTATCCATCATTAGATATAACTTATCAGTCGGATAAGCACTGCATTCAAAAAAAAAAAAAAAAAAAAATGAGAAATTAAATCTCTCTCTCTCTCTAACTTATCCATAGCGGGTCATTCATCCACTTTTTCATCTTCCTTACACTATCACACATTTTTTTTCTCTCTTCACTGATACTACGGTTATAATAAAAAACCGAAATAATCAAAAGAAAGGACATAAGCCTAAACTCGAACAAACAAAAATAAAAGAAACACAACACCTTGTAAGTACTACGTTTCATAACTCGAGAATGACTTTTTTCGTCTTACTGATGTTCTTGCTTATTGTATCTCATACGTTTTCTGAAAATATATTCTCAAAAAACACTACGATTGCTCACCCTGAATCTGGTCTCTTCCTAAATTATATCGGTCCCTATACTCCATCTGAAATGATTATTCACAATTCAGCTATTTTCCCTATGACTAATAACATGTGTCACTTCCTTCCATTTTCAGCTGCCGAAAAAATTCCTACTTGTGATATAACCGTTCAACAAACGAAACGCCTCCTACCTGTTATTATCGGTCTAGGCTTAGGAGCAATTACTTTCGGAATGTCTGCTTCCAGCGCCATACAAGTCTCAGGTCTGCAGAAAGAAATTGCACTTGTGGGGAAATCACTCGCTGAACTATCCGATACCACAAAGATTTATGGAGCTCAACTAGTGACAATTCAGTCAGATCAGATTCAATTAACAGAACAATTACAAATGACTCAAAGACTCCTTGACTCTATTATTCCCATAGTGGACAACCATTCAGATACTATTAATGCCTTACAAAACCGCCTCTCATTCCTACAAATACAACTTCAACATTCATTTCTGTACCAAGCACTCAGTCAAATTCTCCGAAATAAGCTCACTCTTGCGTTTCTAGCTCCATCCGATCTTCACACAGTCGTATATAGTATTATTCGTCAAAGTAATTTAACTTTTAATCCATCTCTTGGATCTTTACCACTAGCACATATCATTACCCGTCTGCTTATTCGTCAACAAATCGACTTCATCCCTACTACACTTTACTCCACCCCTAATCTCTCCGAAATTGGACGATTAGTAATTACTAGTTTCTTTGCCGTTCCTCGATCTGATGCACCTCTCTTTCTCCTTTATAAATTAATCACAATTCCATTCTTCCACGAGAATGAAACTCTCCAGTTATCCCAACTTCCGAGATACTTTGCCATCAATCCATCGAATAATATCACTATCGAATGGTATGACCACGATGATCTTGGATGTGATTTCAGATTAATGACAACTTGTAGAACCACTCCACCATTTCGTTTTATGTCATATACTTCTTGTTTAGGACAAATTCTCCACGGATTACCCTTATCAAGATGTCACATGGAACTAGTTCCTTCTTCTCCTTTCTTTCTTCGTCAACTCCACGACAACCTTTGGATCATTTCTTCCTTCCAATCACTTCATTGTGTAACCGTTAGAAAGTCCGACCTTCAACCACTCTCTCATCAAGTGTCAAGCCTCAATGAGCAACTCATTCTTCCACCAGTTGCTCTCGTCAACGTAACACCTGGTCACACCATCGTTTGTCCGGGATTCTCACTAGCAGGTAGTGTCACTAGCCAACATACTCCCTCTGTAATCATTTTATATAACAACACCTCATTTCTTAATAATGTTTCCGTTCTTAATGTGCATCGCCACATTACGAGTAATAATAGCTGGTCTACAACTAAACTTCTAGAGCAGGAAGTAAAACAAATGATGCAATTTGTTGAGAAAAGATCCTCTAAACCAACGTTCTCTCTTCCTCATCCAATGTACCTATCAGTAATTAGCGTACTCCTATTAGGATGCATTTTAATATGCGCTGCCATTACGACTATATGTTATATTCGTCGCTGCTATTCGACACGCTTGTTACAAGACCTACGTGTAGCCTTACCCCCTCTATCAATAACACGGAACATCATCTAAATAACACCTAATAATAAACCTTCAATAAATAAATAAACATAAACAACAATATATTATATATGATCATAAAATCTTACCTTTTCTTGCAGAAAATGGCACCTGCGTATTTTTATCAACAACATGACTCCATACTCGCATCAATTTGGAACATTCTTAAAAATTTTCATGTAGCGAATTTCTCTTCTCTTCCTCCTATTGACACTACTCTTAATTTAGTCCGTGAATGGCTCCAAGATCATTTCTCTTTTCATCCGTAGCTTCAGACCGCCTTGTCTACTGTTACTTTCCTTGATTCTGCTTCGTCCTCGGCTTTTCTGAGACACAATAATATTGATCCCGACGATGTTATACGTCTTACATGGTCCCTTATCTGTCTCCGAACGTCAACTTATGAATTATTTTTTGAAACTCTCTTAGAAATAAATGAATCCACCTCCTTCCAACTTCACACTACTAGATTCATTCAGCTAGCGTGGACACTCTCTCCAATCTTAAACGCCACCACAGTCAATCGTTTCTCATTCTTACCATCTTCTAATGAAACTAATCCCTCTACCACCTCATCAACAACATCCTCATCGAAAGAAAATTCTACTCCTGATACTTTGGTATCATATGTCTCACACACAACTGCACCAGCACAATCAAATAAAACATTAAAACGGCAATTATCTCATGAAACAATAACTCCACAACCACTTATGTCATTACAACTTGATGTTAATGAACCACCACTTCACAATGCCCCTGCTAATCCAATTCCTCTTATGTCATTTTATGCTCCCCTATGCTCAACTAAACCTCACCCTCAATCACAACGTCGACCATCCCTTCAACGTAAACCACGTTTATACAGCACGGTTTGTAGTCAAGCACCACAAGCAAACACTAATACAAGTCAACACGTCACCAACCATCGCCCTGATACATCGTCAACAGCCTTCAACACCATCAACTCACCAACACAACAACAGGAACACGCGACAGTCTTCTCACCAAACCACGATCAACCATCTCCTGGATTATCAAGTGCTTTTAATACCGAGATGATCGAATTATCATAGTCAAATAATCGGTTCAT